ATAATTATCGAGATATTAATTGTAAAAAAAAAAAAAATATATATATATATATATATATATATATATATATATATATATATATATATATATATATATATATATAACGTAATAAATAACAAAAAGGAAACATGAACAGGACATTTGTTTAGTTTTTTACAGAAATTGTTTAAGTTGTTAGTTACTCAAACAATAATGTCTAAAATCGAGACATAAGATGTCTTAAAGATCATCTTTAAGATATCTTAAAGATCACCTTTAAGATGTCAGACGATTTACGTATAAGTGTTTTTAAGGCGTCTTAAAGATTATCTTTAAGACGTCTTATGTCCCGATTTTAGACATTATGTTATCTGGATATCTACTTAACCTTGTTATCAGTACGTTTTGCATAATAAACAAAACTTATCCGTACATTCCATGCATTTAGTCGACTACAATCGTACAGTTATCGTTTTTTTCGACAGAATCTGATGAAGAACGGGCGGCTATGCTAAAGGCGCTGCGTCAAAGTGAGTCCTTATTTAGCCGTTACTACCTCAACGAGGAATTCAACGACATTATGTTCACTTTCGAATTGCGCGACGACATTGTAATTGGGCAACCATTTAGGTATTTTATTTATGTAATTCAAGACATTATTCGACTGGTCAAACTTGTTTTATGAATTATGAAAGATAATAGATAGATGGAATAGTACATAAAATAATAAATACGTAGAATAAAGAAGTGTATATATATATATAATATATATAGAATAAAGAAGTGTGTATATATGTATATATATATATATATATATGTATATACATATATACATATATATATATATATATATATATATATATATATATATATATATATTTTTTTTTTTTTTACAATTAATATCTCGATAATTATTGCGAATATCGCAAAACAGTATAGAACTTTTATGTTCATCGCAACCTGTTCTACGTTCCCACAAAATGCCCGGAGGAGAGTGTGAGACACCCTGTATATTGACATACACACAACTTCTTTATTCTGTCTATTTATTATTTTATGTACTATTTTATCTATCTAATATCTTTAGTCTTCTTATTATCTTTATTCAATTTATTTATTATCTTCTTAGATAGATAGATAAATTATAAAAATTAATATTATTGAGAATAAAAATGATCTTAGATGGATAAAAAGTTCGTTCACTTTTCGACAGCGTTGTGTTACTGATAAAAAATCGGCATTCGTTGATGGAGTACCGTGTGTCAGTGATTCTGAGAGTGGAAACTGTCCTCTACACCGGTCGCGTGGGTGATCCAGTGAAAAGATTAAATGTCGAGAGGTTGGTGCGTCCAGGTGTGCTCGAAGAAATCCGCATGGACGTTTCCTGGGAAGAATACGGCCCACGATTGTTGGATCAGTGCGCCTTCAACATTGCTTGTCTCGCTACCGTGAAAGATACGAACTTCGAGTATTTTGCGCAGGACGACTTTCGTGTCAGAAAACCCGATATTAAAATCATGGTAATATCAACGATAATGTAAAATAATGAAATTAATCAATATTATTTATATATTGATGCGGTATATTGTGAGTATTAATTTATATTATAATTTTTTTTCAGTTGCATAACGATCCAATAGTCGGTCAGACTCTTAACGCGACGGCTAAATTCCGTAATCCATTGCCGATTCCTTTAAAAAAAGGCAGATTCCTCATCGAAGGACCTGGACTGAACGAGCAATTGAAGCTAAAACTGACGGAGCCTGTCGAGGTAGACGCGGATGCGGAATGCATATTCTCCATGATACCAAAGTTAGAGGGACGCGCTAGGATAGCAGCAAAATTCTATTCAAAGGAATTGGAGGACGTCGATGGTCATTCGGACAATTTTATAGTAAAACCCATGAAAATAATTGACAATTCTGAGTAGTCGCATTACTTTTCACGACATCTTAGGAGAGAATGATCCAGTTGATTTTATACTTTCACTATCGATATTTATACTTGTATTAATTGATATAACAATAAGTAGAGTAAATGCAAGTCTCGAAATTAAACCTCTGCTGACAATATTGAGGTGGAATTCGACCTCAGGCAGACCACGTTGCTCGATGTATCGTAACTTCTCGTTATCAGTAGAAAGTTAAAATAACGTAAATCAGAGTTCGGAATTAGTTGCCCATTTCGGCCGATTTTTGGGAGCTACGCCTTCTATCTTCCCCTTGCCACGAGCGGGCCGCGAAAATGACGGTCGCGGCCAGTTGCGGCTTCAAGCTTGAAGACTCGACCGTCACTTTTGTGGCCCGCTCGCGGCAAAGGAAAGATAGAAGACGTAACTCCTGAGAATCAGCCGAAATGGGTAACTAATTCCGAGCTCTGACGTAAGTAACATTTATAAATGCAATTTGAAGAAACAAATCTAGTATTGTTTGTGCCAAAAATTTGTTACATGTCATCGAAAGGTATCGATATGTGCAAGAAACACGAAATGCCCGTTTATTTATTGTTTGCATGTAAAACTATACAAGTAAAAAAATACGATCAATACTATTTTATAATATTACCTATTATATATAGTTATATACACTACTATATAGTTATACACACATTGCGGCCATATACTATATCTATGTGTTCATAGAATGTATTTGTGAAATCGTGACATTTGTACACGTGAATAAAATAATTTATCATGTCTAATCCGAAATATTGGGTTTATTTTGAGCGATACAGCTGTCACTCTACCTTTCAAGTGAAACTTTTAACTGTTCGCGGGATTAATATCAATATAACGATATGAACTCTATAAACAGCGGTAGTAGATGTTTAGCAACCGAAGTTAAGAGAAAGTGTAACATATGCTTACTCAGTGTAGAACCCCTATAAAATAGAGTCTGGCCACGTGCGTGGTTCTTCCTTATTGATCGAAACAAGATTTGGAAAAATATAGCAGAACCAATAGAAATTGTCATGGGAAGTGGGATAATTTGAAAAGTAAAATAAGAAAATTATGAACAATAAGTAGTCTTTTTTTATATTAAACTGTAAAATAAGTAACTAAAAACAATTTTGATTGTAAACTTGAAACATTATTAATCTGCAGGAAACGAATACAGTGAAAAGCCTTTCTGATAATAATTCTTGCATCGTGGAACACAACACGTTGACATTTTAAAATCTGAAAACTCATATTTCGTATTGCACTATTTTATATTAATACAATTGTTTTTCAAATACTGTTCAGAATAATATAAAGTTACAATGACAATTTAGTATATAATAAATACGACTTTTTTATAATATCACAATTTTTAACTGAATTAACTTTTTTATTTTATCTTGGAAAGAATTCAGAATAATTTTACTTACTTCTATTAACATTTTATAGCCAAACTGACACTTTTATCTCGTAACGCGATAAATACCAGCTACGTTTATATAATCGACATGTTTTTCCAATATTAAGACCATCATACACAAAATTCCGTAAGTACGTAAGCATGAGAAAATCGACTAATTCCAATCGATTATTCGGCTCTCCGTAACCTCTCCATTATTACTTTACTTTACATAAACTTTTTAGTATTTCCAGAAAATGCAAGAAAATGCAGTACTAAATAACTAATTAAAAAATTCTAAAAAAATTCTCAGAGCTCTATGAGAAGAAAATTAATAATATTTATCTCTCGCGATTTTTCGGTAAAGTTAACAGAATCCGAGTAAAAAATTATTGAAACCAATAATTTTGTAGATATTTCCGTAAATATCTTAGAAAATAGAGGTCGTATAAAATTTTTTTCAAACAAAAGTTGTTTGTTTCTTTACGTAGAATAAAGTTCTGTAATAAAAAAATATATGTTTCTATTTAAAAAAGCAAAGTTGACATCGGCCAGACTTTGGCGGCGCCACCCAAGGTTAAACCAATAGAACCTTCCCAGATAGTCAAATGATAGCACTATACCAACAAATTTGGTCATGCCTTTTCAACAGATTCCAATCCACTACATCCAACTTAATCTTAGTATTTGACAACTATCTGGTAATATAATGTGACAAAAAATTACAGTAAAATTCAAATATATCCTGCTAACACTAACAAGTAAACCTACGGAAGTGTCACTCTCCGATTTTTCTGAAATTTGGATATGTTATAATACATGAAAAAGTAAGGGACACGTATTTTTTTTTAGCGGCGGAAAAACATATTTAGGGTATGAAACGAGCCTCCCAAAATAGGGGGTAAAATGGAAAAATTGCGATATCTTTGAGATCAGTGAAGCGATCTTAATGATTTTTGGTATGAAAGTATCTTTTGATAGAAGACGAAAATCGGCCTAGGTATGTTGAAGGGGGAGTGAAAATTAGGGGACCAACTACCCCTAAAGTGACCAATTTTTTGCTACAAAAAATCAGTTTTGATCTAATCGAAGTGAAATCTATTAAAACTTCAAAAGGAAAGCTAATTAAGAAACATTTTTTTTTTTTTTTTTTATATAAATATTTGGGGGGTAAATAACCCCTATATTACCGCGCTCGTTTGACATTGCGCATGAAACACCTTGTGAAACTATATTTCTGAACTGTTCGATCTTTTTAATATATTGGTTTTTGAAGTCGCTGAATCCGAATCTGAAATCAGATTTTCAAAATTCAATATGGCGGATCCAATATGGCGGACGAAAACTGTAAAAATTACTTGAATAGGCAGTAACTCGACATGCGACTTTCAAAATACAATAAAATCAACTTATGACATTTATTGTTAGTTATGTGAAGTGAATGAAACATGTTAAAAATATTAATTGTTTATAACCGCCGGCGTTAGCATCACCCGAGATGTACCGCGCGGAGGTCGCACGGTCGGATTTACATCTCTTCGGGGTACTTGATTAGAGTGAGTCCCCTTGCCTCTCACTATTTTCTGTAAGTGTGTCAGAACATGATTCATTGTTAGAACGCTTATGTACAGGTAACGTACAGGTAAAATCTTTCGTTACCTGTACATAAGCGTTCTAACAATGAATCATGTAAAGTTGTCATTAGTGGGTAATTTTGCATTGTTTTTTCCGGTGCTTCCCTCTTGCTCCCTATCACTAGTTGCATCGCTTCTACGTATGGCAAATTATCATATGCCATAATTCTAACTATCTCCTTTTGTTGTATATATACTGAACATCCCCGGTCTACCGTGCTGTGGTCTTCTCCGCAGTTTATGCACATCTTTCTACCCTCCGCACATGGTGCTTCTCTCATACTTTTCTGGCCACCCGTGCATGTCAGACATTTCACTGGTCTGCTGTAGAACTTCTCTATATGCCCATACCTTCCATAATTATAGCATATTCTCACTGCATTGACATACGGAATAACTGGGTTCATTGTCCTTAAGATATAAATTATTTCTGGTATTATTACTCCCTTTATTTCCAAGCACACTGTTTCCGAGTCCACCAATTGTCTTGTCGTTCTTTCCCTCCTTTTCATTCAAAAGATTTTATTTATCCTTACTTTCGGGTTTTCTTCCTCAATTTCTTGTTTTAATTCTTCTAGGTCCATGTCTACTGGTATATCCCTCAGCACTACTTTACGACTAAGTTTATATCTGGGGATAAAAGCTACTAGTCCAAGTTCTCTCAGATATATATTCGATATTACATTGTTGGCCGCTGTTTTCGATATGAAGCTTAACTTCCAAGTGTCTCTCGTGTGCCTACGAATCTTCTCAAATTTTATATTCGCTTTTGCTAGCTTCTTCGTTATCGTTAACAGTGGCGTCGGATTCCTGTTCTTTTCTTTGTCTGATGGCTACCATATGTGTACTATATATGGTGCCTTCGAATAGGCATCATATTTCATCTTTTTCTCTTCTTCTGTTCATCATTGTCATCTTTTCCATCTCTTTTTTTGCGTATTTTCTTTGTTCTGTTTAATTGTTCTTCCCTTCATCCCCTGATGTTATAACTATTATTTTTCTCATATCCTGCTCGTTCTCTCTCGTTAGTGAGACTGATCTTTGACTTGCCTTCTTTTTCATATTTCTCCTGTTTCCCGCCACTTTTGTCAATTGTCCTCCCTGCTTAACGATCTCCTCTTCTGTGGAGAAATGCGTTCTCTTTAGACTTCCTGTTTCTTTCTGAATTTCCATTCTTGTTTCTTCTAATTCGGTTTCTTGCCTTAATAATTTTTTATAAATTTCTTGCGATAAGGCATGTTTCTCGTTCTTACTTATTTCTTCGTAAGCCGGGGAGGGGATCTGCCCCCCCCCCCCC